CTGGGCGTTTCCTACTGTTGTTGCCACTGCGTTCGGTTAACGAACGAGCGTTTCCACTTTGGTGGTTTATAGCGTACGCACACTGTTACGGCGCAAAGTTTTTTCACTGACAGGCTAAAACGGTCGCCACATGCGTAGTACATGATGTCTGCTTTAGCAGGCCAGTTGAAGTCCTCAATCGTCTGCGTTCAGTTCGATTCGAGGTTCGAGCGTGTGAATGGGTGAATTCGTAAAGCTGTTACCGCACTGTTTATTTAACTGTTGCTGTGAACCGCGGGCGCTGTGCATGACCTGCATGCGCAAAACTCCCCCGTTGCACAGTAACAAGCTTTGGATTTTGAAGGCCCAGCAAAACAAGGCCATTTCTTCTGATGTGGCCCACTTGGACAGTGCACTCTGTTCCGCTACATCCTGGCCCAACGCACACTAAAAGGAAGTTGGACTAGCCCAACATTAAGAGCCTGCGGTCGAGGGCTGGTTGAAGACAAGGCCCATCTGCTACTCTCCAAAAGTCAAACCAGCGTGTTTTGTATGGACTTTGGAGCTTTTTTGAACCGTCACGTGATTGCTTCGCGCGCTTGTGCTCGTACTACCAGACCACGAGACCAGGTCACGCCCGTGGCACGAGCGCGGGCGCGGACGCCGCAACCGAACCAGGGGAAAAGCGGGGAACCGGTTGGCGGGTCTCGGTCTAAAAAGCTTCCGTTTTGTACTGGACGTTCTGCTCTCTACGGCGACCGTGTCCGCTTACTTATCCGCTGATCAGCGCTGACCAACCCTACACGACGCAAGTATTACGCTTTCTACAATTATTATTATATTCTTATTCTGTTCTTAAAAAATAAGTTTCCATTTTCCAACGTGGTGTAAAAGGGAGTGCAAATTTGTCAGGATCGCGTTGCGTTACAGCCGGTGCAAAGAGACGCTCCTCCTGGTTCTTACTTCTTCTTCCTCGGCCCACCCCACGACGAGGAAAAGCCTAATTTGAAACGCCGAAAGCGACCCCATCTTCCCCCGCTCAAAGCTCGTCCTCCCTTTTTCCTCCTTCCCTTTCCTCAGTTGAAAGCGTCCAAAGCCCCATACACCAACTCCTCGGTTCCTCGATCCTAAGTCTCCAGACGCCCAGCCTCGATCGCGGCGACATACGCCAAGCCACAGCAGAGCTCGGCTACCCTCCGGCGCGGTGTGCGATCGATGGCGGTGGTGTCGGCGCTGGCCAAGTACAAGCTCGTGTTCCTGGGCGACCAGGCGGTGGGCAAGACGGCCATCATCACCCGCTTCATGCACGACAAGTTCGACGACACCTACCAGGTCGGTCCGCCCGCCCGCCCGCCGATCTTCGGCTCCCTTCTCCCTCGTCTCGTGCCTGCTTTCAGGCAGGATCATCGTTACTGAAACCTGTCGGCGAAATCTCATCTGATGATCCGTGCTGCTGCTATCTGCTCCCTCCCCCGTGATGCAGGCGACGATCGGGATCGACTTCCTGTCCAAGACGATGTACCTCGAAGACCGCACCGTTCGCCTCCAGCTCTGGTATACATACGCCCGACTTTTCTTCAGGGTCTGATTAATCCTCCTTAGTTCTGAACTGAACACGCAGATTTGTCGATGCTTTGACTTTCCCATGGAGTTCCTTGTTAGTGCGTACTAGTAACGAGTAATGAATGAAGACGAGATCAAGATGTCCAGCTTTTCCTTTCCTCATAAAGCAGTTGCGCGAATCGATTGTTGGAACTTAGGTTTTGACAGAGACAGTTAGTGAATGTGAATTGTTAAAATGTGCAGGGACACAGCTGGGCAGGAGAGGTTCCGCAGCCTGATCCCAAGCTACATCAGAGACTCCTCCGTGGCCGTCATCGTTTACGATGTCACCGGTAAGTTGACCGTCTCCAGAAACACTTCCCGCTAGCGTATACCGTACAGTATATTCCTTTGCTTTCTACGCTGGACAGGATATGCGAAGTTTTTGCCCTTGATTTCTCGTAGAGCTGTAACAGGCCAATTCTGAAATTGTTTGAAGCGAAATTCTGAAGGTCTTTTTTTTTTAAAATGTCGCCTTTTTTGTTTATTAAATTAAATTTGATAGCCACTGCTTTTCTGTTTAGAAAAAAAATCAGTGCTTTTAATAATCTCCCCATACAGTGAGGCATGCCATGATTTCCAGCTTTTCAATTCTGAGAAGCCAATACGTCGAATTGTTTGTTTCAAATGAGGTTTGTTTTGGGGAAGCTTCACTACAAACATACAGCCTGTTCGCTTGCTCGTAAACGATCGTAAATTTCCAGCCGGAAACAGTGTTTTTCTCTCACACCAAACCAGCCAGCAGTAAATAATCCACGATACGATACGGCCTCCCGAACAGGCTGATAATTCGCCCCGTTTGCTTGGCCTATAAGTCGTACTTTTTTAGCCAACGAACAGTATTTTTCTCTCACAACAAATCAGTCAACAGTACTTTCAGCCATGACTTATCAGCCAAGCGAACATGACAATATTATCATTGTCCTTTGATCTTTCTTTTTCGTTTCAAATGTGTATATGTTATCCTTGTCCAATGCTAGGCTCTTGTGTCCCTTCTTTGCAGACAGCCAATCCTTCTTGAACACATCAAAGTGGATCGAGGAAGTAAACACGCAAAGAGGTGGAGATGTGCTCATCTTCCTCGTCGGAAATAAAACTGACCTTGTTGACAAGAGGTTTGTATCTCTGAATTAGGACCTGTTTGGACCACTTGATCTGGTTGTTAGTCCAACTATATAAAGTCTAGGTGACTAAAATTACACGACTAAAGATTAATCCTATATTGTTTAGATATATGTATTACCTAGAGGGGCTATAACAACTAGTTGAGCTGGGCTAAAATTTAGTCCACCGTTTGGATGGTCCAGGACTAAACTTTAGGTCAGGGCTTCATGCCCTTTCTTTATATAATTATAACATCAGTTCCATGTTCCATCCCCGACGCCCCATCTTCTGCTCAGTATAAAATCTAAGGAATTACTCTTGCGATATAGTTTTTCAATAAAGTGGTCAACTATCCTGATTTTTGTTCCCTGGATATGATGTCACCAGGAAAGTGTCCACTGGCGAAGGAGAAGCCAAAGCACAGGAGCATGGTGCCATGTTCATAGAGACCAGTGCAAAAGCTGGGTTCAACGTCAAGGTCCTGACTCTTTATTAATGTTTCCCCCCTTCACTTTCGCAAGCAAAAGCTCTCTCTTGATATCCATGGCTGATCAAACATCTGAAAAGTGAAAACTTAAGTCTTGCAGCCTCTGTTCCGCAAGATCGCTGGATCCCTTCCAGGACTGGACGCGCTCTCGTCAGCAAAGCACGAAGACATGGTCGACATAAACCTCAGACCTGCCAGCGGCTCGTCGGCGTCAGGCGCAGCCGCGCAGCTGGAGCAGAAATCAGGTGGTTGCTCCTGTTGAGACTTCGACAGGTTTTTTTGAGACTGCAACATTGAGTTAGTAGTTTCAGAGAGATGAAGAGTGGGTTTTCGTCCAGACGTCCATTAGTGAATACTGATATCCATAGGGACAGGCCAATTTCTGTGTACAGATATGTTTATCAAGTTATCATATACTAGTACTTAGCTGTTTTGAAACCCAAGGGACAAAATCTTTGGAGGTAACGGCAGCTCACTTTTTTTTCTTTCTTTTTTGAAACATTAGTAGAAGCTCTGCCATATCATATAACAACAAGAGCGAGCCAGAGTATTAGAAAGTCTTATATTACATAAATGACCAATACACAAACACTGCGAAGAAAAGGTGAAAACTCCATTAGGAAACTTCCGGATGTTTACAAGCTGAATCAAATATTCCCCTTCAATATTCAGTTATATTAGAACTCTTCGATTCCTCGGGCGTGCAGCAGTGATTACAATTTAGTTAGATATATTTCATCACTGCAGCAGTAACTCTTCTTAATACAATTATAAGTGGAGCTACAAAAATAATAGCATCAGAGACTCCGTGGCCCAATGGATAAGGCGCTGGTCTACGGAACCAGAGATTCTGGGTTCGATCCCCAGCGGAGTCGCTTAAGCCAGTCTTTAGGTTTTGTTTTCGGCAGTGCTCTAATTTTTTTTGTTTTGTTCCGGCAATGCTCTGTTCCAGCATCGACATTCAATTTCACAGCAGAAAATTTTCCGTTTCGGTTCCATTCCAACATCGACATTCCATTCCTTGTCTTCCCCAAGTGGACTTGCATCAGCAATTTCGTTTTATTATTATTTTTTTGGTTTTGTCAATGCTCGAAAAATCCTATTTTCTTTGTTTTATTTTTGGCAATGATCTGTTCCAGCCATTCAATTTCACAGCAGTATTTTTTCCGTTCTATTCCAACATCGTTCCCCATCGACATTCCATTCCCCATTCCGTAGCAGCAAAGCTAATCGCTTAAGGGAAAAAAATATTCATCTAACTGGATGTCACTCAATCACCAGGAAACCTGACAATTTCAGCACACGATGTTTACAACTCAATGAAACATTGATTTTGTTCCTTAAAACACACAGTTGAGTTATGTACAAAAGGCTAAAAGCAACAAGTATAACACTTGCCCAACAATAATATTTTTTGAATGATCCTTGTCCAGCAGTAACAGTTCATAGAATCCAAAGTGGAAAGCAAGCAATACAGCAGATACAAAACAGACCCAAGGGGGGAAAGCACACGGGTTCCTTTTACAACTCTACAATCTACACTACAGCACACCATCAGGACAGGCGTGCGGCAAAAAAAAAAAAAAAACTACACCACGGAAGACACGACGGGCGGTATCCTTTTTTACAACCTGATGAGTACCTGACAATAACTTAAACCGTTGTTCTTGCAACAAAAACCTGCCTTTCTGAACTCTGACAGGGCTCGTGTAGGGCGTTGTGGAGGAGTACATTATGGGTGACAAACTAGTGAACATAAATTGACAACAATCAAATACACGCCAGCGACCTTCCTCCTGGTACCAAAGGTATACAGATGGTACAACTTTCACCTCCTGGACAGGGCCCTGCAGATCCTCTTACAACAGGGGCTGGTCCGGATGGCATCCTCATGAGGGCGGATCGCTTCAACAAGGGCACTGTGCAGATGGCCCTGCCAATGGAGAGAAAAATAGTAGAGCATGACAAATGCAATGTTGCGCATACCGAATGATGTACTAAGATGATATTGCACTAACCTTGGTGTGGAGAAGGGCAGTGTAAATGACATAGTTGGCATAAGGGTCTTGCAGCAGTTGCTCAAAGTGAGACCCGCTGAGCAAGAGCAATTCATGTACTATGACAGCTTTGGCATCGTCCGGGAAAAACTTTAGGCATCTCTCCACCACATTGCTGCTCACCTTCTGCTTTGAGAGATAAATATACTTTCCTTCAAACTGAGATGCCAAGTGTGCATTTGCAGAAGGAATTTTCAGTTCCAAAACATATTGGACCACATAGTTCCTGGGACAAGGGGAAATGGGAAATCAATCTTAGTTCTGTGGGATGAGTTGATACAGTTCTGAGTTTTGCCATCTCTCTGGTTCAAAATAAATTCCTAATACCATAGATAAATGAAATCAATTAAGACTTGTTTCAATCGAGAGGGTTAGGATTAAGGATGCAGTGTACCCAATGGTGTTTTGTGGGTCAACTAGCCAAGTTCATTTCTCCTAAATTAATTAGGAAGCATGACATTTTAGTTCATTTTAGCAAGTTTTGGGTTGACCCAATGACCCAAAATATGTGGGACTTGCATCCCAGTTAGGATGAACCCCCTTGGAGTGACAGTTAATAAAAAGAACAGAATTCCTTTTTTTTGAAAAATCAGAATTCCTTGTCAATCCAAGAGAATTGGGCAAATCCCTGCCTATTCAAACAAGAGTTATGATCACTGAAAAGCTCTTGAAACATACATAGATTTGAACTGAGATACATATATACAGGTTTATATAAACAACGGAGAACAAACATTTGCTACACTCAAATTAAGTCACTGGTGAAAAGTTATTTCCAACAAAGTTCAGCCTTGTAGAAATATAAGATATATAGGAGATGATCATCAGTATTGAAAACGACGAAAGCAGTGCAATAAGAAGGTACAGAGACTTTGTCTACAATCTACCAGACAGATCACTAATGTATTGGAAAAACAAGCACAAAGCAATGGTGTTTTTTTTTTTTTTTTGCAACAGAATATAATATAAGCAACCAAGGGTTTTACCCAAATGGATCTTGAGCAAGCTCAAAGCCACGAGCACATATTTCCACAATTAGATTGGCCTGGTATACACCACGTGCATTAGATATGCAACGTTGTAGAACACAGCATCCATGGCGATGTACCGCCATGTTAAAACAGTTGGCTGCAGCGCCCTCAAATATGAACTGTTTAAACAGAGTAAATATAAGTATGTCTGCAGATACTCACTCTAGTAAAGTAAGATCAATGCATACTTAGCATATGTATGTTTGCAGATTCTCTAGTAAAGTAAGATCAACGCATACTTAGCATATGTTTGCTAGCAGAATAATTTCATGACACCACATTGATCTCTGGCAAGATAATTATAATAATATGAGAATCTGAGTACACAGTAACGAACTTGTTATTACTTATTTTCACTTGATAATTTGAAGTGGTGAAAATTAGGAACGCAATTGTATCTGCCCCAATGAATTTCTCTATCATTAGTGCATATAAAAACCATGTGTAGGCAGAAAATATGTCTTACATGCATAAGACATATGCCAAAGGCAATATTGAAGGGGAAAACACAAGATTACATAGTCAAATCCAAGTTCAGGACAAGTGAGGAAAACCCTTAAGGTTGATCATAAGACATCACCACCACCAAAACATGATATGCATAGGGAAATGGTCATTGACCACTTAAATACTGGTAATTTAGTTGAGCATAGCCATAGTTTAGTTATTGGTTAATGAACTTAGTTGAATCTAGTGTATTTTGTCATTTCCAGGTCTCAAACTTTCTAAATGTCTAAATTTCTGTCTATAACTTTGGATTCTGGTGGATCCAGACCTCATAAATTAATTAATGCACAACATTAAGAGTTATTTAAATCATACTGTTTGCAAATGCAAGCAAAGTCTCTGTACAATATGTACCAGAGTAAACTAGAGTAGTTCGTACACAAAATCCTGGATATTGTCTGTCTCAGAAAAAAAAAACTGCTAAAGGTTCAAGAATAGCAAATTTACGTAGAGATGAATAGGATTAATGTTTTTTAGTTTGCAAATATCCTTTTAAAGAAACTAAACGTGTCTGATTATGATTACAGATGCATATGAACATAAGTTGCTAGCTGATTGTTTCAAAAAAAAAAAAGAGTTGCTAGCCGAAATTAGAAATGCTCAATTCTACTCCCACAACCAGTAAATTGGTCAAAGTCAATAACATGATTAAAAAAATGCAACAACCACTTATTACTCAAAGACAGAATTTATTTACAAATAGAAGAAATAAGTTTACATACTAGTAGGAATCATTATGTACCTTGTTATCCTCAGCTCCAAAGTTTGTCAGACATTTCTGTATTACATGATTACCATTGGGGTCATTGACAAGCAGCATGAAGCTTGGCTGTAGGGCTGAAATGATGAGCATAATCTGATCTCTACTCCTAACAGTCTCTATCAATCTCTGCACTACCCTGGTCCTGGAACAAATCAATACAATAGAATCATCAGCGTCACTGCATGCCCCCACTAAACAAAAGGGATCACATTGCAATGTTAGCATCAAAGCACACTTGTTCTGATGCCCGTGTACTTTATTATACTGACTCAAAGCACAGCATTCTAAAATCAACAAATACCATAATTGGTTGCCAAGTACAAATGCTTGTAGTGTCAGACAGAAATCATAATGCAAATTTCTGATTAATTTTCAGAAGAGAAGATAATTACCCATGTGTGTTTAGAGAGATGGCAATCAGCTGCTTCACAGGGTCCTGCGTCAGCACTAAGATGATCCTCAGCCTTTGCCCTTCATCACACACTTCCAGCATCTTCTGTACAAGATAGTTGCCAAAACTGCTGATCATAAGGTCTGCGATGTGGTTAATGATTCCTTCAAAGATCGCATCGACATGATGCTTCCCTTCCAAAAACTTGTCCTGCAAATACCGGCACCCATTTTGGTCCTTGGCCATGTGGTAGATGGATCCTTCCTTGACACGAACCACATTGTCAAACCTCAAAGTCCTAGAACTCCCAAGCTCCAGTGCCCTGCTATTGACGCACTGGAATCTCCTCTCCCTCTCACGTTCCAGGAAGTTCATGTTCTTCCCATCAAACATCAGACTGTTGTCACAATGGAATGCCTCAAACTGATTTCTGCCTCTCGCAAACCCGTTGTCTGCCACAGGGACACCACCATATGCATAGTGTCGCTTTGGTCCGCCACGGAAGTCAAGGGCAGCCGGACTCGAGCTGAAAAACTCTGCACCAGCCTCACTGGGACTGTTGTCACAACGGAATGCATCAAACTGATTTCTGCCTCTCGCAAACCCGTCGGCTGCCACAGGGACACCACCATATGCATAGTGTCGCTTAAGGGCAACCGGACTCGAGCTGGAAAACTCTGCACCAGCCTGACTGGAAAGCAGGTAGGACTCGGCGAAATCAGGCTGCACCAAACCTTGGCACCAACCAATGCCAGTGCCATGCCCTACCCTATTGTACATGAAACCGCCAATGCTGGTGTCCAGGGCTCTTGGGTAACCACCATAGTCATCCAGGCCAACGTCCGACACGAAGCGATGCGGCCGTGCTGCGACGTACCCGACAGGTTTGGCCTGATCAAGGAACATGTGTTCCTGGCGGACGGAAGAACCTGACGCCGCGAAGTTGTACCCATGGTACGCGCCGTGCGCTGCTGGGACCTCGGTCGTGGCCGCGCTCATGACTGGCGGCGGGCCCTGGCGCTGGAGCGCGGCCTGCGCGTCCCCGATGCGCAGACCGCGGAGCTGGTTCGCGACCAGCTGATGCTCCTGGTCGTCCACCCCCAGCGCGGGGAAGCCAACGGCCCCCGCATCGCCGCCGTGGAGTGGAGCACCATTGTCGCGACGGTTCAGGACCATGTCGTAGTAGGCGTCCTTGCCGTGGCGCTGCGCATCGTACCCGTCGGCACCCGAGGGGCAGTGTACCCGTCGGCACCCGATGCGCATTGGTGAAGTGTAGCCGTCGGAACCCGAGGCGCCATGCACGCCGCTGCCGTTGCCGTTGCCGTTGCCGTCGCCGATGACGCCCACCCCGCGCTGCCGCCCCTGCGGGGACGTGACGTGGGGGATCTCGCTGAGAAGCAAGTCTATCTCTTTGTCCTCCGTCCTCTCCGCCGCCGCCTTCGCGGCCCTCATCTCGATACCAATCAACAGTACTCCGGAACACACACGCAACCCAGAAACGATGGGAAATCAAAACCCCCGGAGGGATTGAGAAACATCGGGGAGATCGGCGGGAGTGGGGACGGAATCGCGGACCCGGAGCGGGGTGATGGGACGGCGAATCCGGGGATCGGGCGTGGGGGCGGATCGGGATTGGGGAGCAGGGAGGGGTTAGCAGTAGTGGAGGGAGGCGGAAGGGGAGGAGGTGGAGAGGCCGGTGAGGCATGCAAAAGGGGAGAGCCGGAGGACGGCAGATGGGGTGCGGGGTTTTATAGCCAACCACTGGGCTTCAGGGCTGGGATCGGCGGCTTTGGTCAGCTCTCCCTCCTGCCACCTGCACTCGCATGGGTGGAGGAAGCAGTCCACACGCCGCTGACACGCAGCAGTCCTGTGCAAAGCGCATTGGTTTTTATCACGCTATATAAAAGTAGAAGTCTAAAAATAGTCCCGTGATATTTTGTGAACCAGTAAAAAAAAAGTGCTATTATGTCATGTTTACCGTATTCAAATCTGGACAGAGGTTGTTGCAGTGCATTGCTTTGTTTGTTCTCATCATGCGTAAAAGTAGTATATACTAACGTCATGTGAAATTTTGTGAATCAGCAGAAAATACTACATTGGACTATATTCACGGTATGTCGTGTTCAACGTGTTGAAATATGAAGAGAGGTTGTTAACAACTTCAACATTGTTCTATTTTTTGTTTTCATCATGTGTAAAAGTGGAACTAAAACGTCCGGCGATATATTTTGTGAATCAGCAAAGAAAATACTATATTGGACCATATTCATAGTATGCCGTGTTCAACATGTTGAATTCATCAAAAATAATAGGAAACTTAACAATTTTATAAATTTTAAATTCATCATGAAAATTATACGACAATTTATACTACATCATGAATTGGCCATTGGCGTTTTATTCTGGATGGCCTCTGAGCCTGGTAGAGCAAGAAATTTGGAAATTCATCGTCCATGAGCCCGCATTTCTTGCTTCAGTTTTGGGTCTATCTTAATTCGTCTTGATATGTTCGTTGGTTTTTTTTATATGCTCACACTTGCTATTATATTCAGAGCAACTTTAGCAGGAGACCTCAGATCAAAAATTCTACTTTTGGTTTTAGGACTTCCCTAGTTTTGATGGCCTAGGTTTTTTCGGACACCTACTCTAGCAGGAGTTCTCAAATACATTACAATAGACACAGCATATGAGTCCCACTCATCATTTCTGTTCTTACTCGCTAGGGTGGAGGAGCCTTGTCAAGGGAGGAGGACGGTGAGGGGTCTACCAACAGGGGAGGAGGCCAGACAAAGGCACATCATTAGCGAAGTCGCTGGGGGAGGAAGAAGGCAAGAGAGGTGGATTTGCCGTCGAGGGCTCGTAGGGGAGGGGTGGCCGCCAAGGGAGGCCGCCTGGTGGCGATGTGGCTAGAGTTGCGTGGAGCGTCAGGCAGGTGGGAGGGGGACGTGCCAAGTAGGCAGAGCATCAGAGATGGAGAGGGGCACGGTGCCCGCACTTCCTCCCGGGAGAAGGCGCTGGGCCAGGAGACTGGACCGAGCGTACGTGGCGGCAGCGACCGATCTAGCAAAAACGACGGTCAAGCAACGAGACGGAAGTGAGTGCTAGGGCAAGCATGGTTCCTAACAGGTGCAGAAAAATGGCCAAAACTAAAAAGTAGGGTTCTCCTAAAGGGTGCATTATTCAAGACGTGAGAGGTGAATTTGAGAATTGGGGTTTGAGTAGGGACCTTGCTCCTGTGTTCTATGCGGTTTATTCTACCACAACTTAAAATATATAAAACAACATAAATAAATGGATTTTTTTAGACTCCCTCGCTAAATCAAAATAAAACAATGAGTGTTCTTTGAATATGATTTTCGTTGTTTACCTAGAAAGATTATAAACATCGTTCATCTTTGAGACAAACCACTCATGTTCTTCCACGCGTCCAATCGGCGTTTACCTTTGCTGGAAGTATATGAAAAGTTGACTACATCATGTATTCCATCACTAGCCAAAGTAATTAATAAATAATAATATAAATCTTTAGGACGCCTGCAACAATTATTGAAATAGCTAGCATATGTTATCGCCCTGTTCATTTGGGTTTGTTTGGCTGATACGTCATGGCTGAAAGTACTGTTGGCTGATTTGGTGTGAGAGAAAAATACTGTTCGTTGACTGAAAAAGTACGGCTTATAAGCCAAACAAGCCCAAACGAACAGGGCGTTTATATCTTATTCTATGTGGAAAAGAGAGAGAGAAACTAAATTTGCGTCCTATAAAAACTATTGTTTATGAAATATAGCTATGTAAGCCTTAAATAAAAGTAGCCTTTAATTTTTACTTCAAACCCAGCAGAAGTAGTCTATATATTCTACCGCAGGTTGTTGATTTTGTGCGGAACCATTGTTGTTTTTATAAAATTTGTACATTTCATCAGAATCGACCAGGAATGCATTCCAAATAAGAGGATGGCCTTTTTTCTAAGGAAGCATGATCTCATTGGTTACTATGAAGACATTTAGATTTTAGACCCGGGTGGCAGGGCTCCGGCTCCGGCTCTTGCGGCTTCTTAGTTAGAGCTTTTTTTTAATAGAAGAGTTGAAGCTGACTTTTTCGGGATAAACCTAATAAAAATCTCTTCTCTTCTACACTGAAAAGACTGTAAAGTCATCATCTATCCGGTGATACTAAATCTCAATCCGTGCTTACACATCCACGTTCACTACGAATTATCCTCTACTCAGAGCTCACATGTCCTCGTCCTACCCAGTTCTGATATGAAGTCCAAAGGAGCTAACGCGTCCACGTTCCATAAGAAGTCCAAGAAACTCACGCATTTGAATCCGATTACCAAGGTTCAGTTAAAAATCGTGACCCCGGTGCAACCCAAGGACAATCTAGCTATTATAAAATTGCCATCAGTTTTTTTAATAGTTTAAAATAACTTTAGCTCCGTAAGAGAAGGTGGTTCACATGAGTAGACCAAGCCAGAGCTCTTTTTAAAGAGCCGGAGTCCTAGCAAACAGGACTCGGTTGCGCCCTTAGCTTATCGTCAGATGCCTATGTTACTGCCTAATTCCATTAGTGTGTCACTACATCATGTGCTATACGTGAAATTTTTGCGAGGTAAGGCAAGTAAACTCGGCGACTGCAGTCCATGATGCTCCAATCGAGCGCAAAGAATCCGCAGCCAAGCTAGGCCGTCCCCGCGTCCGTCGGGAGCGCCGTCGCATGCAACCGCGCCGGCGGCAGGCGAAACCGATGAACCCGCCCTCGGGGTTGGTGGCTTAGGCCTTTGACCGGGCCGTGGCCACCCAATAATAGGCGTGTCGTTAAAACCGTGTCCGCGCGCACGGCCGCTCCCGCTGCTTTCCCTCCAGATCGCCCGCGCGGGCCCCGGCACCCCTGATGCGACGCCCTCCGCCCTCCGCCCTCCGCCAGTTCCCTCCTCGCCCATCCCCGCCTCCGCCACCACCCGTCCCTCCTCCACACATGGCGGAGAGGGCCCTCCCGCCAGCGGTGCCGGCGTCGCCCGAGCCGGCCTCCTCCTCCGCGGTCTCCACCGCGTTCGGCTCGCCGCGACGGCGGCGGCGGCGGCGGCGACGCCCACGCACGACACGTACGTGGTGCAGGTGCAGAAGGACCAGATATACCGCGTCCCGCCCCCCCGAGAACGCCTACCTTGCTGAGCGCTACCGGAACGAGCGCGGCGGCGGGGGCAACAAGAAGCGCGGGACTAGCAGCGGCCAGGGGTCGGCCGCGTGCTCCCCGTGCGTCCTGCGCACGCTCGGGGCGCTGCTGGCGGCCGCCGCGCTGGTGGGCGCCGCCGTCCTCATCTCCCTCGTCGTGCTGCGGCCGGGCGTCCCGGGCTTCTTCGTCGACCGGATCATCGTGATCAACTCGACGCGGCAGCAGCGCGTGGACTACGACGTCTTCCTCACGGCGGTGAACCCCAACAAGATGACGGCGCTGTGGTACAGGAGCGGCACGGCGAGGCTGACGCACCACGGGACGACCCTCGCCAAGGGCGACGTCGGGCAGCCCGCGGACGGCGGCGAGGACGCCACTGACTTCAGCGTGCTGCTGCAGGGGGTGAAGCACAACGGCCGCTTGCCCAGGGCGGTGGAGAAGGGGTTCAGCGGGTCCAAGGACCACCTCGCGCTCCAGCTCGCCGTGGAGGTCACCGTGCAGGTGCACGTCGGCGCGCTCGGGTTCGGGCAGAGGAGGCTGGCCGTGGACTACGGGATCACCGCCGCCGGGCTGAGCAAGGACGTGCACATTGCGTCGCAGAATTGCAAGAGCAGCTTCCGGAACTGACGACGCGCGCGCGCGCCCCATCGCCATGTTGGGGGGGGCGCCTGTGGTCCTGGAACTCTGGATTGTGGGAAATGGAAATTGACGCCGCGCGCGGTCATGTATGGCGGCGTGCAAGCCAATGGGGAAGGAAGATCGTGCTCGCGCGCCTTTTGAGACTTTGGTGTAAGTTGTCACGAAGTGAATCATGGTGTTGAAGGCCGGATCACAGCAACACGTACTATATGTTTTGCCGGCGCAATGCTGGTCTGCTCACTGCTGGCCATATATGATCATCACGAACGTTGCTTGAAAACCAGCAAGCACGGCCGCTGCGTCGGCCGTCGAGTGTGGTTTGACTTCCGACGGGAGCAACGGCAGCGATGTTCACGTTGCACAGATGAATATGAGACATCACGCATTCATGCTCGTGGATCCGAGTGGCCGCCCGGTGCAGGGCGCTCAGTAAGTCAGTATCGACGTGGGCGTATTCGTCTCAAAGCCCGACCTCGGGACGCCATCGTTACGGGCCAACCATGGCGTGCTTCTGATCCATGCTGGTCCCGCGTGTTACCCGATGGCTGGCGACGGCGAGAACACCGCAGTCCTATATCTTCGGCTTCTCTTTCAGCCGAGTCAAATTTTCTGAATTTTCAATGCGTTTTTAGGCTTCT